ATATATATATATATAGACAGAATAATTATCTATTTATTTTTTAATATTTTATATGAAGGCGGGCATTAAAAAAGACAGAAAAAAACACATTATAGATGGAAAAAAGAAAAAGAAGTAGTAAAAAATAATTAACTCTCCTAGCCTCCATTGATAGCTCTTCTCTATATAGCACCGTTAGCACCACCATTTCTCACAACACTAATTAACCTCCACACCGGGAATCTCCTCTCAACTCCATCATGAGCTTTAGTCCTAACAACAGTCCTCGGATACAACTATTAGGGATTTCGACTAGTGATGTACTGATAATTACTCATTAGAAGCAAAGTATACTGACACAATATTTAACATGATTTGGTAAATCACCTACATCCACAAGAGAGTTTCATATTATTAGATATAGAGAAAGGATAGAATACAAATACATGGAGGAGGAGGATTACATCCACTTTACTCAACTCCCAACTCTCATTGCTGCACTTGCAGCTACTGCAATGGTAGCAAGGCTGTTACCATTGCCCTTCTCTCTTTCTCTCTACTCTCTTACACATACTTACCACTCTTTCTATTATTTTTCTTTCCAACTTATGCCTATATTTATAGGCATTAATGGTAAGATAAATTGGCTATAAATTATGGCACTAATGGTGGCAGCATATAGGTTGCACCATTTTGTCCATGGTTGGTGCAACTACTATTGTAGCCTTTTGACAATGGCAATCCTCTTTCTTATGGTAGGCTGCAAATGCTTTTTGGCTGCTGCACATTAATGGTAACAATCCTAACAATCACCCCATTTGTCATTCATGTGGGCAATTGTCATATTTCTTTTTCAACACATGCTTGCATTTTATAGCTCTTCCAAACTTACCATTCCGAGAGCATCTTTGACCAAGTTTACAAGTACTCGCCAAACCTTTCAACTACTAGAGTCACCAAAACACACCCTTACTCATGCTAAAGGATCACTGCAACCAGATAGTCTCCCATATCACATCTGAAGAGTGTTAACACTTGTCTTTGGGACATCACATTCCCCTTCAAGCGTATCAACCATGCTCGATTTGGAATGATTTTTCAAGCCTCACACTAAGGTTTACAACACCCCCTTAAATGGATATTTTCAAGTGTGACAGTCATGGAGTATTTCAATGTGATCATGAGCTCACCACTCTTCTAAGAGTTTGCTCATCTTGGAGTTTCGTCTACCCTCTGTTCCACTCTAGAAACCACACCTTTCTTCTTTGTGAGTCTCCCGCTCTTAGTCTCAAGAGTCTAGGTAACTCTCCACCTTTAACCATGGAGGCAGCCCATCAAAGGTTGATTCATATCTGTCTTCATACTCTTAGTATTATAATGTCATTAAGAGTCAAATTGTTCCAGGAACCTGCGCATGCACTTTGCTTATTCCTAGTAGTCGCGTCTTAATGCTCCACAAGTCACCCACTTATTGTCTAAAGCAAATATCTTCTAGCTCATTGACCTTTAGCATGGGGGCAATATCCATGAAAGTCAATCCTGTATTTTTCTTCATACTCATCATAGCCACTTCATTGGTTATCCATTTATCCACTCATATCTAGCCATTAAATCGGCTCTAGGGCGTGCTGTAATTGGACTCCTATCATGGTCCTCACACCTTCTTTTAAGGTGTCTCCACTCGTCATCATTGGACGGTCTGATCTTGAGCTCATATCATGGCCCCCACACCTCCTTTAAGATGTTTTTGCCCGTCATGCAGCGATCGCATCCTCTTTCATCTGGGATGCCTCAAAGTGGCTCCAAGAATCTCTACCACCATGTAAACTATGAAAGAAATCACTGGCACTGATCATATACAAAGAGAGAGTTGCGGCACACTCCTTGCAATCCTCCATCTTAATTTTTATATTTGGAGTTTTTATGCCTTTATGCTTGATAGCTTTATCCATAACAACTCTCTTTTGGTGTCTTCTCCTTTTATTATAGGCGTTTGTACCCTCTCAATTAGGTGTCTTCACAACAGCTCTATTTCCATTATTGCATGTATTCGAAAGGTCTTCGCCTATTGTCTTTCATTAAGAGCACAAAAGACTTTCTATTGTACAACTTCACACAGTCTCTACTATGAGCTTCATCTGGGAACTCTTCTTCTCTTTACACATGTTGTCTCATTATAGTACCTTATTGGATCCAATGAGTACTCCTGCATAATCATTGTGCCCTCATGCAATTCCTTGCTTATGTTTGACAGCAGCTTATCCTGTCACAACACCTATCCAAGTTAAAATAAGGTGCCAATCTTTATCCCCTTATATATTTCTCTTCTATTATTAGGATCTTCATCAATCCTCAAGAAATTACAGTTACAGAATCTAACTTCTTTGGAGAAATCATCACTCCATCAAATCCTTGAACATACAGAACTCAACTGTTTCTTTGTGCCGTCATCATGCTAGTCTTCAATAGTTTCATTACAAACTTTTACATATATAAAAATAGTACCATATGGATAATCCTTCAACTAAGCAAGTTCTCAGGAAAGATTGGAGGGGTCACATCGGTCTCGCTTAAAACTCAATCTCCTAGACAGAACTTCTTAAGCCATATCTATCCATCATATTGTCTTTTTATATACACAACCATTTGCTAGCTTTGTTGCAGCTTTCCTTTACAAGTGATCTGAGGTATCTTGATTTTATACCTGATTTCTCAACATCTGGTAAGACTACTAGTGCTTAGATTCATCAAGATTGGTCTTCATCAATTTTTATTCTCCACCTCAAATTGTCCACTTGATTGGGTGTCTAGAGTATCCCAATTTTACCTTCCCTCAAGGTAATTAAAATTTCACCACATAGTTGTTTAACACATGTAATTGGGCAAACATATGCAATTTTTTCTTCTTCATCTCCATCGACCACCATAATGACCTTAAGATGTCTCCTAATTAGGCAATCTCTCTCAATAATTCACCACCACCATTTTTAGGCCAAATCTTAATTATCATACTATACCATTGCATTTGGAACAATCAAATTAGCTAAAAACAAGTTTGAAATAGTCCAAATCGCATTTCAGACTGCTAAGATTTGATCAAAATAATTCTGGCTTGATGAGTGGCCCAGATTCAATCTCAGATCCGATGGCACATAGAATCTATTACACTAAATCATATCCCTCAGCTCGCAGCTCGACTCAGCTCATCTCGGCTCGTGAATGATGACATGTCATGGGGTCCTACTGTGCTAACATGTTAGCTGATTGGTTACTGACATGGCATGCCAATTGTGTATGTTGACGCCATGCTTATATCATGATGATGTCATCCAACATCCTGGTTAACCATATGGGTCAAATCATCTGGTATTCGGGTCGGGTCAGTCC